ATCCTGTAACTCAATTGATTGTCTGGCTCTTACTTAGAGATTTTCATTTAGGAGATTAAATTGCACCTGTGAACCTGCTCCAAGGAAACTAGAACACTACAGCGTCTGAAGTGAATATCTATTTTATCATATCGGTCAGCATTTAACATTTGTCTCCTTCCCACTGCAAGCAAAAGGAAATTCTGTGATTGACATTGGTTTTCGGACATTTGAGAATAGTAACATCAAAGTGAGGTGCCCAGTGTATGAACCTGGGAAGAAAACCTCAACAGCTCCCTACTAGGAAGGTGATTATGTCGTGTCTTATTAACTAATCCTTTGGTGGAAAGGATTTGCCTCGGGGACATTTATAAACCCTCATTTCACGCATTCATCATAATGATCATTTTCTCGCTCAGCTGCCCCAACTGCTGAGGTGCTTTGTATGAGGTGACACTTGACTCTGATGAGGGGTTTCATTTCCTTTTATTTTAATTTTTCATTTCAGATACTCCACCTTCATAAATAGAGTAAGGAACTAACAATTTGGCTCCATAATTTTCCATCAGCTATTATTGACATGCTCAATAAATGTATTTTTATCTAAAATAACAACCTGGACACACTTTAAAAAATAACATTCTTTATGATTATAAGAGTCACTCACAGTTATTATAAAGATTTTGGAAAAATATAAAAATGCATGAAAGAATAAATTAAAAAGTTACTCAAAATCCTAAAAACTCATCCCCTATTAATATTTTTATATATGTTCTTGCAGGTTTTCCCCTATCTGTATATATTCATGAAATAGCAGGGATTTATTTCTGCATGCACAATTGGGATTATTAAAAGTATCTTATACTTTGCTTTTAGCATTGTGCATATCTTTCAAAAACAACCTGTTTTTAGGTTTCTAATGAACACTTTAGTCACCAAATTTTGAGACAAAACTCAGTACTGGCCTGTCAGGAAAATTCTTAGGGTGTGGTAAGAGGTACAGGGAAAATAGCAGTCATTTTTAAATATATATACCAAACATTATTATAGTGTCAAGTTGCTCCATAAAACCCTGCAAAGCTAAAGTTACAGGACATGGTCAAGCTCATTATTGCAAACTCTGTGTGATATGAGTGATACATCTAAATATACTCTGAGGAAATGGAGAACTAATGTTTATTGAGCACTTACTTTGTATCAGGCAGAGGGCTGGATATTTTGCACAGATTGCCTCATAGATGGCATCTGCAGGGTGAAAAATGAGGTCTCTGATCTCTGTACTCATAAAATAGCAAAGAGGTAATGTAGGTTTTAATTCTGCAGTTCAAGGAAGAAAAAGAGAGGGTGGGTTCTGATCAGAAATATTTAAATCCACTGTTTAGTCAAGGTAAACTGCACAACTCCTCTGCTTTCTCTTTGGAGGCACAATCTCAGTGAGTATTCAAGTGTTATCTTCCGTTGAGGAGATTTTTGCCTTATAAGAGTGCAGTGCACTTCATTTATAGAATAAAAGATATTGTATGGCTGCCATATCGGGATTGCTTTGTGCATGCCACTGCTTACTTGCTGTCTAGCAGTCTCTGCCTTCCTCTGATCTATAGGTGATAGAAGACACCTCCGGAATACATTTCCCTAAATCGGATATGTGATGGGCTCACATCACAAGTCACCTCAAAGCAAAGTGGCAGGTCATCTACTGCAGAGTTACAGGAAATGCAAATTTGATCTGGTGAGCGAAAAGTGGAAGCTCTGTTTTGTTGCCTGTGTTATAGAAATAGCTGGCACGTTGTTTTGGATAGTCCCTTCAGTGCGAAGTCAGACTCAAGGTGGCCATAAACATAGTACTGCTCTTACGTTTGTAACACTCATAAATAATGTATCCTCTGCCTTACTCGGGAGAGACATAACTTAATTGCCACATGTTCATGTAGCTAGTGCCTTTATTAGGAGGATATTGCTAGGGTATATAATATATTCATAAATATTTTTATTTCATTTGTTCACGCCTTAGTTCTGGTCTTCCCATTTATTATCTCTTTGGATCCTTAGAACAGAACTCTATCATGGGGTGGTTTTTAAGGGCACAGACTCTGCAACTAACTAGTAGAGGGTTTGAAGTCCAGCTGGAAGTGCTGGCTGTGATACTTTGGGCAAAGAACTTAACTTGTCTAGGTTTTCTTTACTGGTAAAATGAGAGTAGCAATCACACCACACTGATGGGGATTGATATTTAAATGAAGGCAATGCGTATGATATTCTCAACACAATGTCTCACTCAAGGACTGAAATGCTTGATCATCCTGTTAGGTGATTGAGGCAAATATGAAGAAGAAAGATATCAAGACGTTAAGTAACACACTTGGCCTAAGGCCACCTAGTTGCAGAACTGAAGTCAGATCAGCCCATCCCCTTTTCAGTCTTCTTTTAAAGGCTGCTATGCTTTCTTAATTAAATGCACGTGTGTATATATGGATGTTGACTTTAAATATGATGTTTCATCAACAGATGTAACTATAGAGCATATACATTGCAGCACACAGAGTGGCGAGGCAATGTAGCTATAACAGTGGGGCTGATCTACTCCGATGCACCCACCCACACGAGCACAGGCAAGCATGCATCTGAATTCAAAATGTACCTCTCTCCAAAGAAACCTTAGAACCTTTGCACATATCTTGCTTCCAGTGATGATTCTATCATAACTTGGGCATTTACTCAGACCCTCAGCTTCCTCGCTAGTAATAATAATAATAATAATAGTACCGGATTTGTCGTGTGATTAAGATTAATCAAGACACTGTATGGAAAGTCCTTAGCACAGCCTGGCACAAAGTAAATTCCTAATAAATGTTAGTTAATATCCTCATTATTCTTGTGGACAGTGCTGGTCCCAGTGGTGTTTGTAGAGTCAGAGGACGAAGACTTAAAAGTCTTTCCTGACGAGCCAGTGTAAAAGTCGGCTATCTTGTTTTCTTCATGGCTTGTGGCTATCTGACCTGATCCTTCTTGTGTACTGTCTGTTTCCTACCTCTAGAATTGTGTTCCTCAGAGGAGGGGACCCACGACAGTGCTGGAGACATAGCAAATGTCCTCCTGAAAGTCTGTAAATAAATTAATGAGTGGGGAAGAAGTTGACAGCAATGGGGGAAAGATAGAAATAGCCTAAGCGAGCAAGAGGGACGGAAAGGCCTATGTAACTGATTTCCCGCATGAAATTCTGGGTCCATCACTGATCAGCATCTGTGAAAAAGGAACAGATGCCCAGAGGAAGTCAGCTTAAGAAACCATGAATAATCTTGATAGCGATGGGCAGTTTAGCAAGTGCCTTTCTCCTCACTGGGGTTAATGTAACTTGTGTCAACATTGCTCCAAGTTCAGGTCCATTTCCATCTCCCAAACATTCAAGACTGTCACAGGCCTGCCACCAAAAGAGATCCCATTTTCCGATATTCTAATTACCCACCCAAACTGGAGTTCAGAGTTTTAGGTCCTCAAATTCAGTGCAGATGTCTTCCAAGATTGTGTGTCTGTGTGCACAAAGAAGCCTGCCATATGCTCATGAGCATTAAATGAGTCGATAGATGTAAAACAATTACAATAGTGATTGGCATATAGCAACAGCCCCATAAAAGTTCCCTGTTGTTATTATCATCATTATCCAATTATTCAAAAAGGATTTACAATCTATGATGATGTGCCTGTAGATGTTGTAGGCTCAAGATATTCAAAGATAAACTAAACAGATCAAATCTCTGCCTTTATGGAACTTACGATGTGATAGGGGTGTTCAGAAAATAACGTTTAGTATGGTGAGCAGAATGGTGAAAGACAGTGCTACCTAAACGTGTGGTTGTTGACTACACTGTTGGTGAGGACAGGTCCCCATCTGCCTTGTCGCTCCAAGATGTGAAGGTCATAGAAGGCACTCAATTCGCTGGATAAGTGAATGAATGCATGTATTTTTGAGAGGGAGCCCAATTTAATGCGAGCACAGTAGGTTCCAAGTTTAGACTGCATGTGCCATGCAAGACACCATGCAAGCTCTGCAGTTTGTGGACCCCGTTTATGGGGCAAAGCCTGGGTTAGAGTATATGTGGGTGGACGTAGGCAGGAGGATGAGATGGTAAGAGTGTGCATATACATAAGTAAAATCTGTGTGTAGGTGAGGTAACAGGGAAGGCAACGTCTTTGGCTGTGCATTTTGATGTAAATCTGAGCTTCTGTGTGAGCCCAAGGGTAGGGTTCTGACTGAGGTCAATCTGAGTTTGAGTCAGCTGGTTAGGTATTAGGCTGGGGTTTGTTGTGTGAGGATAGGGCATTAAGAGTATTTTGCAAGGCAAAATCTGAAGATGTATGTATGTCTGTTACCTGTGATGTAATAGTGAGGCAAATTAAGGTGGGTCAAAAGCAAAATCTAGGGTGCTATGTAGGAGGTCAGAATGGTTTAAGTGTAGATTTGTCTGTGAGTCAATTATATGCTTTTGTAATTGTCAGTGAAGTAAGAGGGTCTCTCTCTCTCTCTCTCTCTCTCTCTCTCTCTCTCTCTCTC